ATTCGCCAGATGAGATCTAATTCGGCCTGAATCAATTCTTATATGTATAGTTCCGAACCAGTTCTAAATTAGATAGATTCCTAATGAAAGTTTTTTTTTTTAATTCTCTGGGACTTATCATATTTTCTGTGACTACTTTGAACTTAACAAATTTGCATATCACTGAATATAAGCGGTTGGAAATAAAATAGGTAATTCCATCTTTTGAAAATTGTTTGTACATCCTGAATTAAAATATATCAAATGTTTTAGAAAAATTGGACTTAGGAGCATTTTTTCACTCTAAGCTAGCGATGTGTATACTATAGTTTTAAAAAGTAAAATAAAGTAGTGTTTTAAAAGTACCTCTAGTTACTTTCGGACTGGTTCGTTCTTAGTGTTAAAGACCTAGTACGGAACTATAAATTTACTTCACCAGTTCGGGGTTTCCCTACAGGGTATTGATTTCTATACTCATGTGTTGAAAGCTTTACCCAAAAGATGTTTCGAAGAAAACGACATTTTAAAATTAAATAAAGCCATCAACTCAAAAATTAAATAGAAAATAGTAAAATTTGTTTTATTTTTCTACCGAGAAATCAGTAGGCCATAACGAATTAATTGTTTGTGCTCCCAAATAAAATAATGACTGTACCCGAAAGTGAATTTGTTTTAAATACTTATGTGAAGGTATGTAGGATTTTAATTATGTACAAACGTACTTACATACATAGTATGTAGTATATTAAGCATGAATGCGTGCATGTACATACAAACATAATTTGTATATGAAGATCTTTTCTTATCTCATCTGTCAACTATCGGCTTACATATAAATTATTATATGTAAGTATGTATATATGTATGTCGTTAAAAGTGAAAGCTTTAGTAAAAAAAAAGAAGAAATTACAAAAGTTCAGCAGAAAAGAAATGCAAAATTGTAACTATGTATGTATGTAATATAAAATCTACGATTCCATCTACAAATAATTGCATGACGGTTAAATACACATTTATGTACATATGTAAGCTAGATAGATAACGAAGGGTTGGAAGCTAAATTATTTTGACCCCCTACTAAGAACACATTCTGGTCTTAGGTCAAAAGGTATGTGGCCACTTGTTGATCACGTCATGTGCATAGGTTACAAGGTCTTATCGAGCAAATTCTGTGAAAGACTGAAGCCCACCATCAACGAACTAAACCGATTTGGAGAAATAAGTAGTATTCGATAAATCAGTAAATACTGAAGCTAATTCATACAAAATTGATGTTTGCAATAATTCTTTAACAAAAAATACATATATGATAAAGTTCTGTAAAATGGGCGTGACGCCGCCCACTTATGACCACATAAATATGAGTATCTCGGTAACCGTTGGATTAATTTGTTCCAAACTCCGCGATGCGAAGCGATGAACCGAATCGGTGTTATCGTAGAGTCGGAATGCCTGCTCTGTCTTGGGGATGAGGAAGCTTCCGAACACATTCCTTGTGATTGCCCAGCCTTGACTAGGCAAAGATTGAGCTATTTTAAGGCTCTTATGGTCAGTGTATTGGTTAGGGAAGCCGAGGGTGTCTTGAGCATACTGGGTTAGGTGCAATCTTTAGAGATACAAATAACCTTTTTGGTCGTAGTGTCGCTTATTCTGTTATAACCATGCATTCACTTTATCTTTTCTTATTTAAATAGGTATGTAAGTAAAAGACATTTTTCACTCATTTACCAGGGACTGGATATGTAATTTAAAAGCTAACTACTAGCCTCATATGCATGATTTTGTAACAGGTAAAGTACACCACATTTGCAATAGTGCTAGATTCTAGTTTCGTCTAGGAGCCTCAAGTAAACTACAAACACTAGCAAAATCGTATGCTACCACTACAAACAAACTTCCACGTGGCGGTAGCTCGAAATGTTAAACTTGCGCAGGCGCAACCGCTGAAACACAATGCCAGCGAACGACGAATTTTTCGCTGCGAATTTTCGCTGTCGTATATGAGAACGCACACAACCAAAACAAACGACGACGTTCGCGACGATAGACTAATTTCTTTTGTCGTTGCTGGCGGCAGCGGCAAAATGCGATCCATTGTGGCCTTATGTTAAATATTCTGAGGTTTTTGAATCCAAATTGAAAAACCCTATATTAGTTTTTGTTAAAAATTAATAATCTTGTTGTTTGTAAAAATTTTAATTGGACCTTGTCATAGGCGAATTCGTTGTCGCCGTAGTTGTGTTTTACTGAGCGAAATTTTTGGGCGAAAGTTACTGCCGTCGTCGCTCTACTGCGCGAAAATTTGCCGTTCGCCGGTATTGTGTTTCAACGGTTACGCTCTCGAAGAAAACGAATTACGGGAAGACTATGTTTTTATTACTACAACTACAAATTGTGAATCTAATAATTTAACCGAAAGAAATTGCAGACTTGTGCTTAGGCAAAAGTAAATGTGATGTTGCGTATAAAATCATGGGCATTTTGAGAAAACCACAAAGCCGCAAAATATTTAAGTATTGCCAGTCTATAAATATTCTACAGCCTATATTATTTAAGTGAATAAAAAACTGGTAAGTGTATGTTATTTAAATTGAAACAAACTTGTGTTTTTTCCAAATTTATGCAGCTAAGACCCGAACGAACGCTAAAAAAAGTGAAAAGCTATGACTTTGTAAGTGGATCGCAACTTTCTAAGTATACCCAATGTGTTTACATTTTTCCGTCTTTAGATGTACTCCATAATACAGGTACATATATACCCCGAGGCAAATTAATTGGCGTTTAAAAGAAATACATAAAAAGTGCGAAATTTTTCGGATGAAATAGCTCAGAGTTAAGCCGAAAGTCCTACAATGCTGACGTGATCTATCAAATAAAACAAACTCCTTAAAATGATACCACGCATTCTATAGGCAACCAGGTGGTAGGTTTCTGAACAGCAAGTTGTGTTTAAATATATTTATTTCATATTGTGGACAACAATCGTTGCTTGAGCTGATCTGCCCTTTTGCCAGACTGCCAGGCCACTTGCTCACTTTGGTGAATACCACTATTGTGTTATCGCGCCTCCGTTTGTTCCCTATTGACCACTCCAATTGTGTGTGAGTTAAAGTCTTACCACATAATTAAGATTTCCACTAACTTCGACGGTATGCCCGGGGTGCATACTCTGGCCCTAGCTCGTGTTGGATGCTATTATCGTCACAAGCGGCCCGCCATCATCTGTTCCGCGGGCATTGAGCTTACACCCGAGAGCAAAGATCCGCTGTAAGGCTGAGTAGCTCCGAAGGTCGCCTGATAGCCAAAGCACTCTGTACACGACTAAGCGTTATGAACTCCAACAGCCAAGCCGTCCCTCGGTGCGTATCGAATGCGAATCGGTTTGGACTTCAGGTTTAGGTTTGGATAGGAATTCTCGGAGAATGGTATATGCTAGGTAATTTGGAATGAAAAATATATATATACATTTTTTTTAATTTGTATTCTTTGTTTGTGGTTGTTGGTTTGTTTGTTTGTTTTTGTTTTCATCCGACACAAGCACGCGCCTGCCTCCGCAAGCATCACCTCTGCCTAGTGCTTATTGAATTTCTGTTTCTCGTTTCGTGTTCGTTCTTATTTTCATTCATTTCATTTTAAACTATGGTAAACTCAGTCTCACGAGTGGTAGAATTGAACATCTTTGGTGTGGTGGCAAAGAGCATTCTGGCTCGGTGTGGCTCGCGCAACTCAAAAATTTGTACCGGTCCAAATCTCACACTGGAATTGCGCCTTCCCATTTATAAACGTTCTCTGCTGTCAGCTTTGGTTGATTACACATTGCATCTGCTACTTTTCCATGTTGCGTACTTTTAAGCCGCACTCATCTTCATTTAGAGAGTTTTGGCGATGGAAATTTAGCGTAGGGATTGTCATAATCTCACTGCTGCTGAGATGATCTTTGTCGCTTTTTCGACTCAACTAAAGGGACACAATTACAGCTTCCTTGAATGTGAAAGCGTATAGAGGCGACTACGGAAGAGTTTAGGCTCAATGTGGCCAGTGAGTTTGTACATACAGACGCTGCTTTCAAAAGCTCTTCTAACCTTTCAGGGAAATGCAAGACTTAGCTATGTGCCCCCCGCCCCACCACTCTGCAAAATACGTTGCATACCTCCTTAAGTATCTAAATGTTTACCCTTTTGTTAGCCAATGAAAAAGAGAATATATACATCTAAGACAGATTCGTTTTTCTTTCAAAGGATTTGCATAACAGGTCCTATTTTTAACGCCTAACTGAATTATTTGTTAAAAAAAAATAATCAACGGGATCTAGCTGCTAAAGTTTATGATATTCGGGTCCATAAAAATTATTTAAGGAAACGAATTAATTGAGCTAACAGATAAATATGTATCCACATTGGGTATAAGATCACTTTCTAGTTGCCAGGTCACAGCAACAAAATAGAACTTCGAAAACGACGGAGCCTAACCACTACGCCAGCACAGCACTGTGATTAGATCCAACAATTTGTAATGGTTCGATTCATATCGGCGAAGATTGTGACAGCGTGTATTTGCTGTTTGCGGGTTTCGAGTCGCATAATCAGTGAGACGTTAAAATTCAAATTGGCGTGTGCCATCAACCGACTGCCATTAGACTTCTAAGCCAAGCACTTGGGGCATGAACCCTCTGCAGTTCACCCGGTTAAATACTTAGTTAACAACTTATGCACAAAGACGTTTGTTTTTTATGTTTGCAAGTATATACACATGTTCTACTGTGTGAGAGTAGGCGACGAGTGTGACTTGTGGCAACAACTGACGGACTGCTGCTGTGGTAGCTGAATTTCACTTCGCCGCTGCGTGTTTGCGTTATTCGCATGTGAAACGGTGAAGCGATAGGTGGTGCTCTGGAAAACACTTACATAGAATAAAAAACTTATAAAAAGTGACCAAGTGAATATATTTTTACATATAATGCTGGTGAAGAAAATGTTCGCATAAAATGTTTGGTTGCATGTAGGAGAAATGATTATCCTTGCTGTGAGCAGAAGGAAGTGAAAGTAGTTCAAATTTAAGAAATCTCAAAATATTTAAGCCTTTAATTAAAAAAGTTTTAATTAAAACAGTAAAAAAATGTTATGCTTTTTCGTGGTCACAAAGTTACTCATGCTCAAATTACTGCTGGCCAGCATATCCGGCTTGCACGCTTACGATTTTGGTTATCATCCGAGCGCCGAGGAACTCGATAATTTCTTACGCGAAACGCAACGTACGTGGACGCGCGATTTGCTAGCCAACGAGCACCGGCGCGCGTGGAGCGCAAAACCGCAGTTTCGAGATGTAGCCGAGAATTTTGTGCCAAAATACAACTACGACAAAGAGCAGTCACAAACGGCAACGAAGCAGGTGACGTCATGGCCAGGACATGTGCAGCGCATCGGTCGACCACAGCAACATCGCTATGAATCACCCAGTGTGGCTGCGGCAGCGCATGCGCTGAAGGGGAATGCTGTTGGTTCGAGCTTGAATTTTCATTTGTTCAGCAACGAGCAAAATGAGGATGCGGATGGTGATGGTGCTGCGGGCGAAGTAAACGCTGCAGACCTGCCAGGAGTGCTAAAGTTTAGTAACTTGCAGCCACAAACAAGGCCGCCTAACTCCAAGCCATCAAGACCGCAACGTCCTAATAAGCAAACGCTAAGTAGCGTTATCGAAATTGCCACTTCGGCTGAGTCACCAAAGCGGCCAACTCAGGCTAATCAAAGCTTTGGCGGTTTCTATAAAAACCATACCGAGACACAGTTTCCCATATATTTTTCCAACCCAGTCACTGGCATTATCTATGCGATTACTGAAGTGGGACGCGCGCCGTATAACATTAGTAAGCCTACTTCTGCTAACAGCACTATTTCGCTTTATGTCTCGAAGGAGCAATACGAGCGTGACTTATATTTGCAACGCAAGCACTACGAACAGAGCTGTCAGTCTGTACAAGTAAAGTATTTGCCTAAGCGTAATAGCACAGTCACGATAGCGCATACCACAACGCCTCCTCAAATAATACGTCTACAAAAGCCGTCGACATTCAAATTGCCGATCGCTAAGTTACCCAGTCATCTTAGTAAACCGCCACCTGTTACAGTACAAACCGAATTGACAATCAGCGATCAGGTCCAATTGCCGACGCGCAAGCATAAACCCAAAGTCAAGCGAAAGAACAAGAAGAAGCCAAATAGACCCGGAAGAAAGCCAACTGTCACACGTAATGAGCTGCCGCAAATAATCAAAGGTGTGCGTGTATCAACGCCAAAGCCACAAACAAGCACCGAGAAGCAACAAGTCGCCACCCAACTGGAGAAGCCAAATTACACGCAAACAGTTTTCAGCAAGAGTCCAATTGAATCCACGGAAGCTATACTGATGAGTTTGTCAGCGAAAAGCGACCAGTCTGAGGAGCATCAGGTGCGTAAGCGCTCTGTGACTAATATACGCGCTTACATGGATCACGCGCAGAATGTGACGATAATCGATAAGTATCTTAAGGATCCGGTAGCTTTGCGTCCAATTCATGAAGTGGAAAAGGTGAAAGACAAAAGCGTGGAAGCAAAAAGAGTCACAGCGCGAACAAGAACTGTAAAACGGGCCAGAGTGAGAAAACGTCAATCGAAGCTAGGGAATTACACCGAAATGAATTCCTTAACCAATAGTGCATTCAATCGCACCAACTGGAATGTGCTGAAGCAGCACAAAGGAGGATCTAATGCAACAAACAGCAGAAATAATACAGCCATAAAGCCAACTTCGACTAATCACACCGTGAACTACGATGCGACAACGCAGTTACCGTCAATAGCGCTCAGCACTTCCCGCAATAATGCGCAGAAAAGAAAAACTAAAAGCAAGAAAAGGCGTAAGAAGGAAAAAGTTGAAAAAAGGGGTGAGTTCGACCTCTTCGACTTTGGCGACGATGAAGACGAAGACGACGATGATGAGGAATCTGCAGATCGCAACGATGGCGAAGATGATGAAGAGGACGACGACAATGCTGGTTCCTACGAAGATGACGAATGGTCTTACTATGACTTCGAGCCCACTGGCAGCACGAAAATGAAAAAACGCAAGCGGCATAAAAATCACAAGGAATCGAAAGAACCTGAGAGCTTCGAAGAAGCAGAAGATTATACTGATGAAACCTCAGAAACATCTGAAATAACTAATCATCCAGCCAACTCCATAATAATAAATGATGGCAGTTCAGCTGAGCCGGGTGCAGACTTTGGAGCAATCGAGTCGGAGGAAAACAGCCTTACTAGTCCACCAAGTACCACCACCACCACCACGACCACAACCACGACTACGACTACGACTACGAAAAAACCAAGCATTTACACTAAGGCAGCAAGCAAAAAACGCATACGCCGACGTCCAACTTCCAGCGATAGCTCAGCATCTGATGAAGACTATGACTACGAAGACGGTGGTGGTGTTGGCGGTATTGGTGGATTTTTTCGTATGATCTTCTATCCTGTGCAAGTGCTAATGAATGGTATGGCAGATAATTTTGTCAGTAAAGAATCTGATGAGGAACAATATTCATATCCCACCTACACCACTTATCACAATGGCATACAGCCGATTGAGAGTATTGAAGAGGAAGAGGAGGAACAATCAAATTCCTTAGCTAGTTGGTTAAGTTCGTGGTTTGGTTTTAATAGGCGAACGAAGAATATTGGTAGCACAACACCTTTGCCGCCGTCGCCATCGCCTACAGAGCCGCCAAGCTGGCTTGAATCGTGGTTCGGTTTTGGTAGCCAGGCAACGACAACCGATAGCATGCCGGAGGATGCTAGTGCAAATGATAGTAAGTAAAAGTATTAAATGCAAAGTTGTGTATTCGTGTAAGAGTTTG